CCTGGGAACAGGGCGGGGCAATTGTGCGGGCGTGGTCCCGGTAATGGGCGTGTCTCCGGTAATGGGCGTGGCCTCGCCACTGGGCGGGGCACCGGGCGGGGCCCGCGGCCCGGCGGGTCCGGCGTTATCCCGCCCGTAAAACTATCACAAACCCCGGTTCACCCTGAGATAGAATAGATTTATTAGCAAGAGGTAATCAGGAAACATATATTTTTACAAAAAGAATGGAAATATTTTTTTTTTTCCCAAACAAGCTGTAAGTTGAAATAGTTTTAGGGCTTGAAAGAGAATTCCCATACCACGAGGTATTGCTTACAGCAAGTGTTGTGTGAGTGGAGCATGCCTGCCACTGCCGGGGAACCGTGTCAGGGACTGTACAATGTAAAAAACCCAGGTACTATTCACAGAATAAGCACTACATTACTATATCCTGCTAGCGGGTGGTTAGCCAGGATTACAGTAGATGTAATAAAAACACTCGTCATCTCTAACTCTACGTCATGGTACTCAGAGTGGGCACAAGGGTACGGATCTACAGCATATCAACAGGAGCCGGATGCAGCGAGGAGAGGCAAGGGGATGCTTCCATCTTCCCGACTTCGGCGGGACCGGGGCAGCAGCCAGGGCCCCCCGTGCCCGGCCAGCACGAGGGTGGCACACACAGAGAGGGCAGCTCACACCGAGGAACAGCCTTTAATGCGTTCCCTTCTCCCACCTTACAGAGTTTGCCGTGCGATGTCAGCGCTGTCCGAGTGAGAGCTGCTCTGTGCCGCCCCAGAGCCCCGTGGGGACACAGGGCTCACCTGCCCCACGGGGACACGGGGACTCACCTGCCCGGCCACCAGCCCCCCAGGAGGAACAAATGACAAAAGTAACATCATCCAAAAGAACCCGGGGCTCCAGCCAAGTGTGGATGCGTTAAACCTTAACCGGGGCGGGGAATCCTAGGCGAGGTGGAGCGCGGCCTGGGGCGGGGGTTTGCTGGGAGAAGCACAGACTGGGAGTCACTCCAGGGCGTCCATGGAACTGGCTATGTACAGTTTGCTATAGCGAGTGTACAGGGCGGCCGCCGCCGCGCTCAGGAAGGCAGCTTGGGCTCTATCCGCAGAGAAGCTTCGTAAAGGCTTTCCTCGTCCATCACACACGACTGGTCCAGCAGGTACTGCGTCACCTGGGAGCGAGCGCGGCCATCAGCGGGCTGGGAGAGCACACAGCCCGAGAGCCGGGGCACCCACGCCCTGGGAAGTGAGGTGCTGAGCGCTGCCGAGACCCCTCAGCTCATGCTGGGGCCACCATGGGGCAGAGGCCGGCTGGAGCTGGCAGTGGGGCCAGCAGGACACACTCTGCTCCCTGGGGAGGGGGGCTGCCCCTAAAGAGCTGCTCCAGTGTCCAGGGTGCAGCCCTGGGAGCACTCGGAGCCTGTCCACCAAAGCTGCCCTCTGCAGCAAATCCTCTGCTTGGAGAGGCCTGGGGGCCACGGGGGGAGTCTGCTGGAGCCCCCCCAGCCTCCCTCCCTCCCCTGCCCTCCTCCCAACAGCTCCAGCTGGAGCTGCCGGGTGCTGAAGGCTTAGATGCTGTGATGGAAGAGGGAGATGAGGAGCACAGCATGCCCGTGGCTCTGGGGACAGGGCTGTACCTTCGGCTGGTGCTCGATCTTGTAGGAGGTTTGCTGGAACTGGCGGATCTCCCTTATGATGTGTGAGATCTGTGCAGGGATAAAACACACGAGGTGCCCGTGGCTCAGCCATCACCCAGGGAACCCATCCCAGTGCCCAGGAGGGCAGGGGCACCCAGCACAGCACAATGCAGAGGCCTCTTTGTCTCTTCCAGACCTTAGGAACAGCCCCAGGTGTGCGCAGGGGACACATGTGGCTGTGCAGGTGAAGGCTGAAGGGACACAGACCTGGCCACAGCCACACCACCCCAGCCCAGCCCCCTGTGCCCACGCCACTGGGCTGGAGCACTCACCATCCTCATTTTGGAGAAGTTCACCAGGCCATCCTCAGTGTAGTTGGGGGTGCCCTCCTCGATGAACGCCAGGTCAGTCAGGTACATGCCCAGGTAGGGCACACACGGAGGGTCACAACTTGGGAACAAACCAGAGAGAAAGGAGGAATGGCACTTTCCCCCTTGGGAGCTTGGGGCAGGGTAGGGGAGAAGGGGACAGCTCTGCAGTCAGAATTGGAAGGATTCTCTCCAGTACAGGAAAGCTCTCCCAGGGAAGGGGAGCTCTCTCATCCCCACCAGCACAGCAGGACAAGCAGGACCTGTGGCTGTGCCCCTCACAAAGCCACAGCATGCAGGAGATGAGCTGAGGGCAGCTTTGGCAGAGGGTCAGGAAGACCTTCAGAAGCTTCCATGGTCAACCTGGTCTATTGGAAGGGGGCAGTGCCCATGGAGAGGTATGGAACAGGATGAGCATTGAGGTCCCTTCCAACCTAAACCATTCTGGGATTTGATGCTTCTGTGATAGTGAAGGGGGAAATTATTCTCCAGTGTCTGGCAGTGGTTTTTCCCTCTGCAGTCCCTTTTATTCCCTGCACAAAGGAGCAGCTCAGTCCTGGGGATCGCTTTGCCAGCCATGGTGCTGGCTCGACAGGACAGGACCCTTCAGGGCAGGCTCTGGGTGATGCTGGGAGCAGAGCTCAGCTCCCCCCACAGCACAGGGCCAGGAGCAGCCGTGGGAGAGGAGGAGAAGCACCATCCACTCACTTTTTCAGTGCCTCCCTCAGGTTCTTGAACCTGCCCTCCGACGACACCAGCTTCTGGAGCTTATCAATCAGAGCCTTCGTCTGCAAGAAACCAAAATGCTGCTCGGCAGGGCCCTGGAAGAGCCCCCAGCCCCGCAGCCAGGGCTGCACCCTGCAGAGCCTCAGGGTCACTTGGTTTAGATCGGATATTGGGGACATCTCTTAGTGTCTGTCCAGCCCTGGCACTGCTGCCCAGGGCAGTGGTGGAGTCAAGGCAGGGATTTAACAGATGTGTGGGTGTGACACTTGGGGACACTTGGGGACACGGGTGAGTGGTGGCAGTGCTGAGGGAACAGCTGGACTTGCCTGGTCTTAGAGAGCTTTTCTAACCCAAACAATCCTGTGATTCCACTGATAAACCCAACTCCAAGGCAGGGTCTGCCCGTCCACACACCACCTCCCTCCTGAGAACAGCCTGAAACCCCTTTCTCCCTTTTCTCTTTCCCAATGCATCTCATCCCCCCCAAACCTGCCTCCCCAGCAGGGACCACCCCTACCTGCTTGGAGACCTTGAGCCAGGTTTTCTTGAGGCGGAAGATGGCACTGCGGTTGAGGGAGGAGGTGATCTCCAGCACGGCGTTGTAGTTGTGCAGGCAGCGGCAGATGTCGGCCACCGCCACCCACTTCTCGATGGCGCTGACGCGCGCGTTGATCTCCTCGTTCCGGATGATCTCCGAGGCAATCAGGTTGCTGACCTTGGGGAGACACGGCACCCAGCCCGAGCTTTAGCCTGAGTTTGGGCCCAGCTCCGTGTGCTCCAGCCTCAGGGCAGGTTTTGGATTTCCCTGTGCTCCCCAGGAGGAGCGGCTGCAGCAGGAGATGCTCCACCTGCACCGGTTCCCCGAGGCAGGTGAGGACAGGTGACCCTCACACACCCCAGCCCTGGGGCGGGGGGGCTGAGCTGCCTCCCCTGTGCCCACCCCCTGTGCCCTGCAGCTGCACCTACATCATTGAAGTGCTTTGTGTTCTTCATGATGTATGGAGTCCTCTCATTCTTCTCCAGCTTCATCCAGCCTTGCCCGAAGAATTCTCTGCAAACCACAGTGCTCAGGTCAACTTTTATTTCCCGATTTTATGGGATGTCCAAGCCCTGCAAGCTCCAGGATGGAGATGCTGGGGTCCTTGCCCCCACACTGCTGGAAAGGCCCCACATGGATGTGTTTGAAAGTGTGATGGTTGTGGGAGGGTCCCCCTGAGCCGATTACCTTGGGGACGCCAGCAGAGAAGCCGCTGGACTGGATCAGGACTCAAATCTGCACTTGAGCCAAGTCTGGCAAAGCCCAGGAAGGCTTTGCAGTGTCGGGGTCAGCCCAGCCAGGCTGTGGGGCCCTGGGGACCAGAGCCAGCTCTGCTGGCCCATGGGGATCACTCACTCATATGGGATCTTCTTGAAGACCAGGTGATCCAGCAGCGTCAGCTGTTCTGCAATCTCCAGGGCTGAATGGTTTTCAAAGGGTTCTGCTTTGACCCCCTCGGCCTGTGGGACAGAGGAACAGCGTGGCTCGCTGGCCAGGAGCACACTGAGAGCTCCCACACCCACGAGCACAAGCCCAGAGCCAGGCCAGGCTCCCAAGGCCAAGGATTTTCCCCAGCAGAGCCGGGGTGTGCGGTGCTGTGCCCGTGCCGAGCTCCTCCCTGCCTTGAGAACCCACAGAGTTAATCAGGCAGCCTTTGGGCTGTTTAATTAACAAAGCACCCCAGGGGTCCCAGCTGGAGCACCACTGCTCCTGCCCAGGAGGAGCAAGACGGCCCTTCCAAGGGATTTCCAGAAAAGCAGGGGCCCAGGGATGACCCCTGTCCCCACTGCCTGCCTCTGGCCAAGCTCACCTGCAGGCACAGGCAGGGCTCAGGTGCCCCCCACATGTCACCCTGGGGGTGACAGCCACAGCCTGGGGCCCAGAGCCAGTCACTGCCTGGTGACTGTCCTCAAACCAGTCACAAAAACATCCCCTGAGACCCAGCCCTTGGTCACAGCTCAGGCCAGCACCAGCACAGCCCCACAAACACCTTGGGACAGGGATGGTGAAAGCTCCAGCAAACAAACACTGGCTGGGCTGCTGTGGGGCACTGGGGGTGCAGCTGTGGGGCACTGGGGCTGCAGCTGTGGGGCACACCCCACCAGAGCCCGGGGACAGGTGGTGCCAATGGCACCTGTGCAGCCAAGGGTCAGCACAACACAGCCCCCTGCCCATGGTGTGCACCCCAAAACCCAGGGCAGCCTCAGGTTCCCACCACCCCTGTGACCGCAGGTCGCTGCTGCTCAGCCTGAGGACAGAGTGAAGCCCTCGGGGCTTTTTTGTTCTCTCCTCTTCAGAGGAAGTTTCCAGAACATGCAGTTATGGGCAATGGAATCTTGGGTGTTTCAGGTGCTCCAGGCCGGTTTCAAGTGGCTCTCGTGTTCTTCTGGGAACAGGTTTGGTTGGGTTTTTTAGTGCAGAAGGGCAGCAGTGCTCTGCAGCCACCCTGGGGGTTCTAAATCCGTGGCACATTCCCAGGGAGCAGCGCTGATGCTGGCTGAGCCAGAGCCCATCACTCGGAACTGGGACAGCTTTGGGGACACAGAGGACACGTTGGGGACCCCTGGGGCTTTCCCATGTCCCTGCAGCAGGCACAGGCAGCAGCAGGCAGGTGTCTCCGTGCCCTCTCCAGCCATTCTGCTGACTGCAGGGGGAATCAGGCTCTGCCTGTAACAGATCCAGCTGTGCTCACAGCTGGCCCCTGCCCAGAAAGCCTTTCCCTGGCACTGGTGGAGCAGCAGCACCCGAGCCACCGGGGGCAGGCAGGGAAGGAAGGAGTATTTACCATCTGCACAACCTCCTCCAGGGTTATCTGGTTGTCTCCTGGATCCTCCTGCGTCAAGGTCCTGCGGCAGGGAAAGACAGGATTACTGCAGTGGGGAACCAGCAGACCCACCCAGCTCCAGCGGGGCAGCCTGGCTTTGCAGGGCCAAAACACTCAGCTTGTGTTTCAGTCCCATTTCTCATTTTAAAGAGAAAAACGCTCCTCAGCCGAGGCCAGAGGCCCCCGTGTCAGCCCTGTGCAGGACAAGTGCCAGCCTGCAGCACGGGTGGGCACCCCGAGCCTCCCTGCTCGGCCACGGTGCCACAGCAGGGCCCAGCAGCAGCCAGGGCCAGCACCCACCACGGACCCTCGGCCTCGCACCACGTCCTGAACGCAGCCAGCACCACCCTCCACCTCCTCAT